AAAGGGAGCATTCCCATCTGTTTTCAATTTAAAAAGCAAATTGATGTAAAAAAAAGGTTTTTTCCTAGAAAAAGAAAACTACTTGAAAATTTTGAAAACGTTTCTAAAAACGAAGACATTAAAATTAATAACAAAGTACAGTTAATTGACTTTGAGGTTGACAGCAGTCTAAAAAGAAGCTGTTGTGAGGACAACATAAAATTGATTTATCGGAAAAAGAAAAACAAGAGTTGATATCTAAAATGCGCTATTTAGAATCTGAAATCAAAATGATAAAAAATCAATTAAATCAACATAAAAGAAAATATATTCATAGTTATGAAAATATCTCAACAGACAAAAAATTGTTCCAAAAGTATACTGGCATTGAGCATGAACAGTTTATTAATTTGTACAAAATTTTAAATCCAGGAAATAATGGAGAAAACATTAAATATCACAATTCATCACTATCCAAAAAAATTAATATTTTAGTCCATAAGGAAAAATCTGGTCCAAAACCAAAATTAAACACAAAAGATCAGTTATATATTTTTTAGTGTGGCTAAAAAATGGATTTACAATTTTTCACACATCTTAATTATTCAAAATATCAAAATCTACATCACGTTATTTAATAACATGGACAAATTTTATTAATTTTTCATTGGGAAGTATTCCTATTTGGCCATCACGGGAACAAGTTGATAAGTATATGCCAGAAAACTTCAAGATGATATTTCCTTCAACAAGATGCATCATTGATTGCACTAAACCCTTTTGTCAGAAACCTTCATCACTAAGACAGCAGAGTTCTTTATTCTCCAATTATAAACATCATGTAACTTATAAAGGATTGTTAGGTCTCCATCAGGAGCTATAACTTTTATAAGTCAACTTTATGATGGATCTATTTCTGACAAAGAAATTGTTATAAAGTCAGGTTTTCTTAATAAAGAACTATGGGATAAAAATGATTCAGTTATGGCCGATCGTGGGTTTACCATCTCAGATATTTTGAAAACAATCAATGTTAAATTAAACATACCATCTTTTTTAAATGGACAATTACAGCTATGTAAAAAAGATACAATAGAAAACGAAACTATAGCATCATTGAGAATTCATGTAGAACGAGCTATATGCAGAATAAAAGTATTTCGCCAAATTAGTCAAGAAATTCCTTTAGCATTTCATGGGTCGATTAACCAACTATGGACAGTCACTTGTCTTTTATGTAACTTCCTCCCACCACTTATCAAAAATCAAAAATAAAAACATTTATTTACATGGATATTATTTCTTGAATATTAACGTTGTTATCCAATATTTGTGGTAGAAAATAGTTAATGTAAAAATTATTTAATTTTGTAACTAATTCAAAAAGAATTGAAGTCGCAAAACTGGGCATTACTTAACCCCATTGCCATTTGTATTTGTGTATAATAACCAGTGGGATGATCTTTTTTTTAAATATGGTTCTCCATTTTCTAATCCAATATAAAAATCATTGGCTGTATTACAATTCCAGTTTTCCACACTGAAATATTATGATTTAATTTATTTTTTAAAACTTTAATAAATTTTTCTCGCACATGTGGTTCATAAGTATAACCGTGGTCTAAAGATTCTTGTAAAAACTTTGGTATTTCAACAGTTTTTTGGGGGTTAATTAACTACTGAACAAGAGTTTCAAATTTTCGCTTGCGGATATAAATTTTTTGAGAAGTACTTGAAGTTAAAGTTTTCTTAGATTAAACCATAATGGATTTTCATTTTGTGTTACTGTATCAGCTTCATACTTTCTACTTTGTTCAGAAGATACTTTTATTGACAACAAAAATCTTTTTGTTTCTTATTAAGTTAAAAAAATTGGTATTTCATTATTTTGTAAGTCTTCCATAGCTTCATATACTTGAGAATTCATATTTTAAACTATTTGTTATTTACATTTTATTATTGCTAGCGTACATTACATCATTTCCAAACATTATGTCATTGGAATGCGGGATGTGTCTATTGATGAATCTACTTATTTTCAGTAGACCTAAGATGAAATAATGATATACAATTAAACTTTTTACTCAGGATTTAGAGCCACAGTCTTCATTTTACCTCCAAAAATCATTAATTTACAAGTCAATAATTTTGAACAAAATTAGATAAATGAGGCATTTCTTGAGACAATCGAGTCTTGAGGATGCTATTTTTGGATTCCTCAAGTAAAAACCTATTGGGGTACCAAATTTTAGGAAATTTCCCCAAGCCATTATAAAGATACTTAATGTCAAAGTTGCTTTGTAGTCGCTACAAAAAATCACTAAAATGCTGAGTCAGCATTATTTCAACTGATGATATCTCTGGAACCCATGTGTATTTTTGACTAAAATTTTTGCAGTTATAACTTTTTTATTATGAACTGCAAGTGGTGTAAAAATGAACAAATTCTGAGACATAAGGATGTCATGGTCTGGATGATTTCATATGGAATAACCCTGTACACATTTAGATTAGATTCAAGAGTGAGAAGGTTCAGTTCTTGTAACTTGGATGCAAGCAGTTCAACTCGGTTCTTTTAACTGGGATGCAAGCAGTTCATCAAGATTTTTGTTAAGGTAAAAAGTTTCGTTGTGATTTCTTCACTAAAATCAGAATCATGAACATCACATTTGTCTTCAGAACATGAACTGTCATCACTTTCAATATCATTCAGCTGAGTAGGAAGACATTTCTGTGATGAACTGATGGCACAGGCCTCAGGGCTGAAAGTGGTACATTAGGATATTGAACTTTATGCCTGCTCCTCTTGTTGATTCTAACAATATTCATCAAGCAAAAAAAGCAGTCTGTCACATGATTTAAAGACGCCAAATCACAAGTACATTAAATGAATTACCTTTCACTTTACTATTAAACTACTTGCCAAGAGTTACTTCACATAGTTTACAAATAACATGTTTACATCTATAACACGTGTGACAATATTTCTTTGTAAAGTGTGATATTTTCTCTCTCTAAGCCACAGTGCAAAATAGTCCGTAAACATTGCAGAAAATATCTGCTGAATTTATGTAATGTCTTGGCGTAGCAAAGTTAATTTTGGAATTAAAATCAATTAATTAATTGATTTTAATTCCAAATTCTGAAAAAATCTGAAACACACAAACAAAAGCATCAAAATATTTATTAAAACTCATTTAGTTATCTAACCACAAAATTGGTTGATCACATACACAAAATTTGTACTAAAAATTGGCTACACCCCCTGTTCAGGGTTCTAGCAAAACTAGTCATTAAAATATTTTGATGATAGAGACAAAATAAGGACAAACAAAAACTTATGATATAAGTTTGTAAACACACCATATGTGATGACACAAGACCTTGTAAAAACAAAACCTTGTAAATACAATTTTGAAGTTTTTTTAAATACTGACACACAAACCAAGCACAGCAAAGTTTATCATTTTTAACAAGCTTTCATAAACTTATAATATTTCATGAAAACTGGTATTATTACAAAGATTTAAATTGTATGAACGCATGACTGCACATCAACTTAGCCCACATTGTACCTTTTTGTGAAAAGAATCTATAAGGCCTGTCATATCTGCAGAACAACTGGAGAAGCTACTCATTCCGAGTTTAAACAACTAAATGATGGCATTTTTTTTTTTAGTTGGTAAAAGTAAAAATTGTGGTTTGATTTATGACACAGTGAAGGATTATAACAAACAGAATTACTAAATAAATCCCAATCAGCTTTAAGATAATTGTAAAAAGTGCAATGATAGAAAGTAGAAGAAGTACAAGATAAAAAACTTAGTGAAATGATCGGAACAAGCTAGGTTTAGAGATGAGACATTAATCGAGGAGTAAAGGTGATTAGTTTTGTCTAAGAGATGGAGAAAACAAGAAATTTTGACCAATAGAGCCAGCAAGGTCATAGGTATTAGAACCAAGCCATTCAGAATGGTGAGCATTATAGTCATAAATAACAATAATATTGGCTGAAAAATAAGGAGAAAGGCTAGACCAAATTATTCAGAAACAAATTGAAAGGTTTTCAAAGAAACAACCTTACAGATAAAAAAAAGAAAGAGCAATAAAGAACATAGCAATTATTTTGAAACTGCTTACCCTAAACCCACTCAATTTTTCCTACACTTCAAGCATAGCATTTTAGGAAGATCAATAAAAAAAACTTGTTGATTAGGTTTTCATAATTGCTCAACTTGCAACTTGATTTATTTATTATTACCTGAATAAATGCACCATGAGTTGTTTTTTTAAACAGTAAAAATAATATTTTGACAAACCTTTTACAAACAATATTTTTTTGGTTATATCTAAAAAGAAACATTTGATTACTTTTTTAATGGTTTTTTGGAAGTGCAATTTAAATAAGTAGAAGCTAAATAAGCTAGTTTTATAGTTGTTCATTTTATTTTAAATAGCTGTACGAAAATTTTTATTGAAGCGTTTTAAAGGTTTTAGTATATATTTTTTAAAACCTAATGCTGTGATACAAAAAATTAGTACTTGCAAATTGATTTTAATTGATTACTATTTGATTATTGCAAATTGATTACTAATTGATTTATAAAGTAAATATTATTATTTTATGTTACATATAAGCAGTGCTCAAAGTAGAGAAAAAAAAAATGGAATGGTATACAGTAAATTAACAATACCATCCCGCTTAATCATTGTTATATATAGAGATTTATAAAAGACGTGGCAGGATGGTTTATAATTTATAAAAAGGTGACGGGATGGCATCCTGCCATATCCTGCCTCACTTCGAGCACTGCATATAAGTGTTAATAGGGTCGTCAACATAGGGTAGATAGGGTAGGGTCAAAGTCTAGAAGGCCACAAAGTATATAATAGGATTGAGGGTCACTCAGTTTATTATAGGGTTGGAAAAATTACAGAAAAATCTTTTAAAATATGAGCTCTGTCTACTGGCCATCAAGTGTGTCGCAATACCACTGAGTGGTAATATATTATAAACTTAC